GGAGAAGGAGTATGAGAGCTCTATCGACTATGAACTCAAGAGATTCATGAGATTAACGGTTTTATAGAGGATAGGGCTAGGGAGAAGTGGATTGACTAGCTAGAGACAATCTTCTTAGTGATTACATGCACAACAAAGTAATGAGTTCTATTAGCTACATTTATGCTAGATGATGCCGCCAAACAATGGTAGGAGAGTGTGAAGCTAGCTAATGGCTCTACATAAAAGGACTTTAAGAGGAGGTTCTTTGCTCACTATTTCCCATCTACTTTTTGAGATGAGAAGGAATTTGAGTTTCACCATCTACAGCAAGGCAATATGAATGAGGAAGAGTTCATCGCTAAGTTGAATGAATTTTTAAAGTATTTGACTTATCTGAGGCATCATGATGGTGAAGATCAAAAAGCTAAGCAATTCTTAGATAAGATGAGACTTGAGTATAGCAAGCAATTGGCAGCCTTTAAAATTACCTCATTTGAGGTGATGTGTAACAAATTTTGAGCCATTGCTGTAAGAGGTCAGGTAATTAATCACAAGAAGAGAGATGGCCAAGGTCGTTTCTCTCTATATATGGGTCCTACCTGTGGTGTGAGTAAGAAGACTAGTTTCAATTCTGGATCTTCTCAAGGGTTTAGTGTCAAGGGTATTAAGAAGCATTTCTAGAAGGGATCTCAATCCAAGGGATCGTAGTCCAAGAGTAATGACCCTAGGAATATGAGAGGTCAGAACCAAACTTCGAGGCAAGACTCTACCCCTAATATTATTGTACCTATAAGAGCTCCATAGCACAATAAGTGTGAAAAGTATCACATTAGAGAGTGCTGGACATGCTTCAAATGCCACAAGATTGACCACATAGTGTGATATTGCCCAAAGAACACCAATGCACCTGACTAGAGGTTTGTCATTCTTGATCGTGTCTTCATCAAGTCTAAGGAAGAAGTTGAAGCTTCTCCAAAGCTTATTAAAGGTACTATTTCTCTCTGTTGTACTTAAATTATTGCATTATTTGATTCGGGTGCCACTTACTCTTTTATCTTTGATAAGTGTGTAGAAAAGTTGAAATTGTTTGCGATTGAGATGCCTACTTTGATATGTGTATCTACACCAGCTAGTGTATTTGTGAAAACTAGACGTGCATGTTTAAAAGTTGAATTGAAATTTGGTCATAAAATTACATTAATTGACTTGATTTGTTTGCTCATGTCAGAAGTTGATGTAATCATTGGGATGGACTAGTTGTCAGCTAACAAAAGGACATTAGATTATGACAAGATAATTTCCTTGCAAGTTTACACTACGACTCTAGTAGTACCTAAAAACACTGTTTTTGCAATTACCCTTGTTTGAGTAATACTTGGGAAATTTAAAATTTCAATGTATGTAACTAATTATTCGAATGGAATTGATTTGGCTTCAATTCAAATATGTTTGCCATTAAATTTGTTGATATTGTATCACAATGAATTCTCACAATAAAGTCAATTTGTTTGATTGATGATAGTTATACAATATTTATTAGTTGAATACATTACTTCATTCATTGAGATGAAATTATTGTATATATTAATAGCCTAGCTTAATTATTTTAGTTAAGACATGAGAATATATGTGAATTTAATTATTGAAGATTTGTTGCGTATATGCACATGAGTGTTGAAACATGTGTCTGTACATGTTGTTAATTTAATTGGGTGTACACATTTTTTTTTTGGCTTTAATGTCAATATATATACATATGGTGTTTACTTGCACTGCTTTATGCATGTTATAGATAATGATTCTTGATAATTCACAAAATAATATCCATAATGTGGAACTATGTGCATGGATTAATATATTCATGATGAATTTAAAATTTATGAGAAATTCTTATTTAATTAGAATGGGAGGAGATTATATGGAGAGATTCTAATTTAATTAGAATCATTATTGATAAGGTATGGAAATGTTTTTCATACATGTAGTTGAAATATTTAAAAGTGTGGGTGTATCTTGCAAAAATTATTGCAAAAGGAAATATGCGTTATATCGAATTATTAGCCTCATTTTATAAATATCAAGATATTATTTTATTGTGATTTAGAGAGAAAATTAATTAAGAGGAGGCTATTATTATTTACATGAGGGCAAAATTTGTTAATTATGAAATTTTTGTGGCTTGAAACAAGCATCATGGTGATACAAAATTTAATCATTTATCTAGTGTAGATAAATGTATTTTAAGATAGGTGCATGGCCTATTATCTTAGCATAAATATTCATTATTGTGAATAATGGTTTGTTTATGTGTTATGGTTCTGTGATATAAATGAAATATTCAAAAAATATTGTGAATTATGATATTGTGTACAATGAATTCTTGTTATATAAAATATACAGATGTTGATTAAATTGTAAATTAATGGGTAAAAATCCACTACAGACAATCCGCCTTTAGTAGTAATAAAAACAAATACGATGATAGGACCATAGTAGAGTCAAAGTGCGTTCCTCTAAAATTGGAGACTAATCAACACTTAATGTCAATGAACATTTCTATGATGCTGATGTGTTTTTTAATTTTTTTTAAAGGATGATTCTATTGATCAATCTATATATACATGTACAAACTTTAGAGAGTTTATTGTATTAATTAATTTCATGATATAGTTATGTTGCATGAAGATTGAGCATATCAATTGTAGTCTCATAAGAGGATAAGACAAGCGAGTGTTTGAGGGATACCATAAATGATGGTATCACATATAATAAATTTCCATTATATTAAAATAATATAATGATTGAATTTTATATTCAGATGAGGAAAAATTTATTGGTAGCCAAATAAAATATTATGTGAGCCAAAGTATATTACTCTGAAGCTGGCTAATAATGAGGCTAAGTAGTTGAGAAACTTTTTAATTAATAATATTGCATTGAGAGTAAAACCGACACATATTATGTCACTGATTTGTGTAATAGCCAAATGGTGATAGTCATTGCAAAGAGAAAAATGGCCAAATGGTGATTGTCATGGCAAAGAGAATAATGACATAGATAGATATCATTTGAGATACAATTAAGCATGTTAAAAGAAGTTATCTCAATCAATTATGTGAAATAAAATGTAAATATGACAGATCCGGTAATGAGTCCCTACGAATGATTTTAAAATGTCAAGAGGAATGAGACTTAAGCCTATTTGAAATTAATGGTGATGGCAATCCAACATTTGTTATTGAAGATCCAATGAAAAAAGTTTAATGGGTAAGAACAAGTCACTTATTAGTTCTGCTAACTCTAAATTTTCTATCCCTTCCTATGACTTGAGAAAGTGCTAAAATGTATTGATCGGAGGCTGAGCAAAAGCTCTTAATGTTTTCATAGTTCTTATCAATGGTGTATTTATTGCAGATACACTTGATGAAAAAACCTATACAAATGTGAAATGAGGCAGCTCGTATAAGATCGTGGCAAAATCTTTAGAGCATTTGTTGAAATTAGGCTTGCACATAGCCGATAACATGCAAAACTATCATTAACAACAAAGACTGTGGGGGTATAATCTGACTAATAAGACCTCTAGTATACATTTAAGATCTGTTGGTTCAATAATGAAGTTACACTGATTTTTTTGTGTGCTAAATTTAATTAGTCTAGGTTTGATTTAAGTCGAAAGACACCAAATTCGAAGTGATTATCTTCAATGTGAATAACTCAAATGATAATGCTCCACTTGACACATATGCGTGTGTCAAAAGGAGAAATCCCACATTGCCCATATGAGGAAAGGTCTTAGTGTTTGTATGTTAAGGAATGAAGATAGGCTAGTAAATGGGCTTGGAGAAGAAGTGGGTTTGAGCAACCCCAGCGCGTGAGTTGAAGAGGTACTGAGTTCTTTTATTGAATTTGTTTTTGCAAAATTATTAAATTAATTATCTCCTTGGCTTCCCGTAAAAACTACTGTTTGTTATGTTTAAATTGTAAGTTTCTGAAGTATGTTATTGATAAGGAGTTTTTTATTTAGTATTGAAATGGATTAATGGCTTTAAACAATAATCTCCTTGGCTTCCCGTAAAAACCACTGTTTATTATGTTTAAATTGTAAATTTTTGAAGAAATTATTGATAAGGAGTTTTTTATTCAGTATTTAAATGGATTAATGGCTTTAAATAACATTCAATTGCTATAAACTTTCTCCACTTTCAAAACGTCCACATAAAGTGACTTTATGTGCTATTATGTTCTTTAAACCAATGTTTGATGACTTTGTCAAAGTCGTCCATGTACCGTACCTATATATGCCTGGGAATGCAATGTCCAAGTCTAAGAGCTCTTCAATTCTCAAACTCCTTTTTTATATTGTGTTGCTAAGTATATGTTAGTCTTTGTTATTCTATAACCCTGTTTATTTTGAAGATGATTTTGTTTAATTTTAGAGAGCTGCCGTGCGAATAATCTAATGTAATGAAATGATTCTTAAAGACAGTGTCTTTGACACAACTCAAATTTTAAATCTATTTACTGGTTCCAACAACCCTTACTTGTCATTCCCCCCTAAAGTAAACCAGGATCACCAAAATGGTAACAAACCTCCCTTCTAATACTACTTTTTCATGACCTAGTCTTGAAGCTACCTCACTCTTCCACGGTAAAATGATCTGAATCCTAGTGTGGGCCAAGCACATTGTGTTAGCTGATTTATCTGTAAATTATTGTTGTAAATGTCACACATGAAATAGTAATTATTTTTACATTAATTCCATAAAAAATTAGAAGTAACAGGGAGGAGGAAGTGAAGGAAACGTTGGAACGATCATATAACTTAAACATGTTGACTTAATACGTACTACGATTTGACACAAGGGAATGGCTCCTGAAGCTCTCATGCATTTGATATACATGCTGCTCCTTGATCTCATGCTTTGGGCTTCAAAACATACATTTTACACGAATGTGACTCCACAGTCGCACTAATTTTGTCCACAAATTCTCTCCCCAGTGTCTTGTGCTGCCAACATTCACAACTTCCTTCATGTCAAACAGTACAATAATGATACAAAATAACGTTTAATTAAGAGCCTATTACATCTAGGCCATTAAATTTAAATAAGTTTATTTATACAATTACAAAAAACACCTTTATCTTGTCTTCTTTTTTCAGAAAAATATAATTCATTCACTTCCGCTCACTAGAGCTCTAGACCGCCCCTGCCACCTAGAGACAAATCTATAGTCGGCCAAAAAAAAAAAAATTACATCCCTGCGAAAATTATGAGAATGTTTTATAAAAATTGATAAAAATTGTTTTTTGGGCCCGCCAAGTTTCATCTTATTTGAAATTTAGCCCATTCTGTTTATCATTCTGGATCCATCACTGCTGTCACCGGAGAGCACCCAGCCGCCACAGCCTAAATAATTCAATTACTATATAGTAATTGAAATTTTAAAACAAAACTTTAAAATTTGATTTAAAACGTCAATTACTAAATATTTTTTTAATTAAACGTCAGTTATAACATTTATTTTTGACATCAGACTTGTTAACATGGTCAGTTACATGGTATATTGACGTTGTAATGATTATGAATTAACATATCACCACTAGGTCACTCCATTATATACTTTCATGTCTTCTGTTGACATAATTATACTTATAATTATAATTAATTTAAACATGATTTACCTCCCAAAGATCTCTTGCTTCCACAACACTTTTTGGAGGAATGCCGATGTCGTCCCACAGGGCAGTGATGGAGTAACGCACGGGGCCGCGATTGAGCAGCACAACTACTACTCTGTTTTTAGAGAGAGGACCTGCCCATATCTGTTAAATAAAAATGAAAATGCATTTTTATTAATAATTTTTTACTTGTTTTAGCACAAAACTGGTATAAGACTTGTGATTTATTTCCATGTTGTTGTGCATTTTAATTTATTTTTTAGTCAAAAATTATGTCATTTATTTACAAAATATTATTGAGTTGAAATTTCTAATTTTAAGAATTTTTAAATCAAATTTTAAAGTTTTGTTAAAATTATGAAGATTTTTTTTATGAAAAACATTATCTTAAACTTCAATCTAATTTTAATTTTTGCTGTCTAAAGTATTGGTATTGACATGGATATATATATATATATTAGACTAAAAATTATGCAGATAATTTTTGATTTAAAAATACAAAATTAGACAAAAATAGTATATACATTTTGGAAATAAAGAAATCACTATAATTATAATCATAATAATTATGATAAATTCAAAAAATTGAATATTGAATAATTTATTATAAATCTATACATTTAATAAATAGCAACTTATTCATATCAAGCCCCATCTCTCCCCCCCCCCCCCCAAAAAAAGCACCATCTAATGCATAGGCCAAACCAATAAAAAGAGCCATTTACTAATGTTTCAAAAGCCAAATAGGATAAATATTAGTAAATATTTTCCTAGAATAGGTTGCAAATTAAATTCCAAGTCTCCGCATCATACCTCAATATCACCTTCCATCCTAACTTTTTTACCTTGCACACCGAGTGAATCTGTTGAAAACAAATGTGTTAGTAATGGTTACAAGTGGAAAACACAAGTCGGATCAATTATGCATCATCACCTTGGTTAACTGCGATAACCTCCTGGTTCGAGATTATCATTTGAGTCTCTTTAGTCATATTCCGAACATCACAACCCAGAAGAAGTGGAGCCTGCAAACGTTTACGTACCTTTTACCTGACAATTATATAAACATAAAAATACTCCATTCTTCCCAAATCTTGTATTATAATTTTTCTTTCTATTTAATGTTTCACAAATGAGATTTCACACCCCATTAACTGTGGTATCTCTCTCCTCCTGGATTACTTCAACAACGTAACTTTAGCATTCAGAAATGTGGCACAAATCAAACTTTTAATCTACCTTTTACTTTTCTTTTACTGTACCATTATTAACTCTTCATCCGCAGCTTTTCCTTTTTACTTTTGTTAATATACTTTAGACCTGTTTATCAAAAATAATAATAAAAATCATTTTTAAAAATTTATATTTATATTTTTAAAAAAATTATAAAATATATTTAATAAAATTTATTAATATATATAATTTTGTTTGAAAGTGTCTTACACACTCAGACTCTGGAGTATAAATTTGCAATCGTGACTGCGTACCTTGGAAAGGGCCCATAGACTGAAGTGAACGATATATTCATTCGTGGTCATCCCTCCATTTCCCACCTCAAGCATGTCAGGGTCTGTATATATTAACGAGAACCAATAAAACATATGACTTACACAAATCCCAAAACAGGTCAATTAATACACCCTCCATGCCAAAAAATAATAATAATACTCCTTTCATTTTTATTTACAGAAAAAAAGATTATATCACCTAATTTAAAAAAAATCAATTAACTGCATTAATTATGTTTAAAAATAAAAAAAAATTGAACTGAAATATCCTTATAATCAAGCTTTCATTAATTGTTTCTTATAACTGTAAATGATGAAATTATGAAGGGTAATTTAAAAAATTTATAATAAATTCTTATTAGAAAATGTAATTTTGTTATATAAAAAAACAAACTAAAAGTAATAGTTTCTTTTATAAATAAAAATAGAGGGAGTATTGTTAAAATCTAATGATTTTTAATCCCAAAAATTGAATGAAAGAGTAGTAAATAAAAATATGTCAATACTAACCATTCCAGCCACCAGGTCTTGCTAGATCAGCATAAACTTCATTCATGTCTGCCCTGGATATCATACTGCCAAATAAAAATATAAGCATCAACGAACTTCAATTACGTACAGCTTCTATTACAAGACTCAATCTTGAAAATTTTTTGAGGTATCTTCGGAAACAATTTTTTCTTAACCTATCCCATGAATCATTTATGTCATTTGTTGTTCTCCAGCTATTTCCCACTTTAGCACCCCACAAAGCAGGGTGCAGATCTCCCCTGAAAACAGAAAACAACTAATATAATCAGTATATGATGAAACTGTAGGAGAACAAAAAAAAAAACAAGAAAAGAAAAAAAAAGAAAAAGGAAATAACTACCATTCACACAGAGAGAAGAAGATTGGACGGCCAGCCTTTAATAAAGCTCGAGTCATAATAGGGTATCTGTGTTAAAGATAAAGATAACACATGCATGATGAAACTGTGGTTTTGATACCTTTAAGCCAATGTATAAAAATTAAATATAAATTAAATCTGTTGGTATTCAAGTGTTTCGTTGAATTTCTAAGTCGGTTCTCATCACGAGAGTCTTAATTAATATAACCGATCTGATGTTATTTTAACATCAACTTCGTTTTAGCAAGTATAAGCCATAGTGCTAGTGGACTCCACTACCCTTAACACCTATTTTAGACAATACTCATTTAATTCTCACACAAATTAATCATTCTAATAATGATAATGAGAATCTTTTGGTCAAAAAGGATATATTGTAATGATCTACCTGTCTACCATTTTTTATGCCAAATATTTCAATTTTGGACGGACAGAGGGACACAAAAATTTGACTTCCACATTTTGAATATTAATAAAGAGTAGTTTTGGAGTCAAATTTCAATCTTCATACAAAAATAGCCAAGGGGCTTTTAAATTGAGATATATCTAAAAGGAAAAACAGTCAATACGAGAAACAGAGTCACGTCACATAGCATACGCATTTCTACCGTGTGTTATTCTCTCTTCCTTCATAAACACTTAAGAAAATTCATACTATTAGAAAATCAAATTTTTTTGATCAAATTATTGGTAAAAAAAATAGAATATCAATTTTTTAGAGTTTATTTTGTCATTCCATTTCATCATTAAAAGGGGTAAAAAATAATTATCTAATAATGATTTAGTTGGTATTGGTTTATTCAATTTCTTGTTGTATCTCTTGCCATCTATCCAAATATTAAATAAAAAAATGAAAATTAAAAAGACCCAATGGCCAATTACTAATATTAACCTAAAAAGACCAATTTAAAAATTAAACAAAAAACTAACAAAATAATTGAACCTCAAATATAATATGCAAAATAAATACTTTCCGACTACCTAACTGTTGGCCTGGTTCCACCATTGTTACAGTTATCATACTTCAAGTAATCAATACCCTGTTAGCAAAGAAATGGATACCAACTGTTACTTGTCTCGCAAACATCAAGGCCATAAGACCCAAGAAATTAACACTTTTATGTAAATAAATATAATATGATACAAATGACGTTACCCAATAATATATATATATATATACACGTGTGTGCACGCTCATAGGTAATTAAAATGGTCTGATGTAATTAATAAGGTATTTAAGATACAACATATCTCCAATTTTAAAGTATATATGCTTCATAGCATCATGAATGTTAAAGTTAATAATTCATGTCAGCCTAAAACCCGTCAAAAAAAAAGTTAGGGACAGATTTGGTTATATGAACTTTTTTTAAGAGGGTAGGATATTTAAAATCCGGCCTGAATAAGCCAGACCACTGGAATTTCCAGCTTTGTGTGTATTCTAGTTGGCAATTTTGGCCAAACTTGATGGGCCAGCTCGAACTCAGCCAAAAAAAGTTAGGGTCGACTTGACTATATGAGTTTTTTAAAAGGTATGATACTTCAAGTCCCGATCCGAATAAGACTGACCCAAATAAGCCCGGCCCATCTAAATTACCGTTTCTAATGAATGTCGTCTCACTTTTAAAATCAAAGTTGAGTAAAAGTTCAAGAGAAATCAAACTTAGGGCAAACAATTTATACCCATGATGCAAATGTTTTTGCATCTTGCTCCTCGTGATGGAGTGAGCCAGGCATCTTTTTGCTACAAGTGAAATACCTGCAAAATTTGCTCCGAAAATTAACTTGCGACCAAAACAAAGAAAGAAGCTTCTTAGAAGAGACTGTCAAGGCTACATATAAACTTAACAATTCAGTGAATAAGGTTTCGATTAGTATCGTACCCAGCATCCGAATAGATCCCAAGCTTAAGACCTTTGCTGTGAACGTAATCCGCAAGAGCTTTAATGCCAGAAGGAAAAGTTGACTTCTTTGCCACTAGATTTCCCTGTGCGTTTGTAAATTTATTTTTTAGTTCCATAAAACAGAGTTCACTAATTCACGATTTTAGTGAGAAATTACAGTCCAAGTAGAAAACAGCAACATTTACAGTCAATGGATACCTTGCCATCTCGAGACGATTCAGCCCAACAATCATCTGCAAGAACAGACAATAACTGCTTATCAAGAATAACCCAAAGTTTATAACATTTTGTCATGTGAAAATAGAATTCATCATAGTCGAATATTCCAACATGAAAATAATTTTAAGAAATACGAGGCTTAAAAATATTAGCTTTAATGTACGTACCTATGTTGACATAGGTGTATCCAAGCTTGGACAAGCCAGTCGCAACAAGAGCATCCGCTGTAATTATGTAAAAATGGTTTCAACTAAACGGTTGTAAGTGAATCAAAAGGAACTGATAATACTGATTCAGTCATTAATCCTTATTATTGTAGTCATGTATCCTTGAACATCATCCGAGATAAATTTCCTCCCCTAACCATCCAAGAACACACTCTCACAAACACACAAAGTTATACAACAAGAGACATTGTCATTTTTATAGATCAAGCTAATCTCTTCAAAAAAAAAAAATTAATTCGATCATTTTGTGATAAATGCAATATATAATATATACAAAGAACTTGTTATTATATTACCAAAAAATAAGAAAAGAACTTGTTATTAGATGTTATAAATGGATTTATTGTGTTCTTTCGCCGCGTTAGGCTAGAATCAATTTTTGACTATGTACCAGTGATTCCACAATTATTGTTATTGTTATTATTATTATTATTATTATTATTATTTGACCTCATATTCCACTATTAGTACACAACCATATAATATGTTGTAAGAACAACAGAAAGAGAATAAAGAATGTAGATTAGGGACCACCATGTGATAAACTATCGAAATTACCAGGTGAGACATAACACAAAGTCAAGTTTATTACTATTAAAAAGACAGAAAAGCAGCGTAGATATAGAGATATATACACACACACACATAGAGAGAGAGAATAGAATTATAGGAATTGTTTAAAAACTTATTCTGAGAATAGTTTCCGTTTTCCAGAAAAGAGAACAAAAAATTTTTAAGTAACGTGTTTTTAAGAAGTGTTTTAAAAAAAAAAAAAAAAAAATATTGTTGTGAAAAACAGACAAATAAAATAATTTTTAAGTATTTTGTAATTATTTTCTGAAAAATAAGGAGAATAAAAAAAATATTTATTTTTATTATTTTTTTATTTTCAGAACATATTCTATAAAATATCAGTTTTTAAAACAACAAAATAAAAATAATTTCAAACACTCCCACTACAACTCTCAATCAAAACATGCTGATTGACTAATTAGTTACAAAATATACCAGTTTCTCGAATGACCTTTTCGTCAATTTGACAAGCGAAATGATTCCAACTGTTCCACCTACATAAATAGGAAAAAGAGTACCAATTAAGAGACGAAAAGGTTATAGAAAGAAAGAACATGCAGTAACATAAGCGAAATCGGGAAATCAATAATGAAGTTACTTCATAGTGCAAACATATCAGGATCTTTTCTATTCTTTTTTCTTTTTTTCACATTCTGTTATGAATAGATCAGGATAGGACTTTTTACTCCCTTGTATAAAAAAAAAAAAAAAATCAGGATGAGACTTTTCCAAAATTTTAAATCCGATAGAATTCGAGCTGGTATTAGCTACAAGAATTTCACCGTTAAAAAGAATACCAATTAAGAGAGGACATGGCTATTGAAAGAAACAACACACAGTAACATAATGCAAGATCGGGAAATCAATGCTGAGGTTAATGCATAAAGCAGACATATATGATATATCGATATACCTTATATTCGTTTTTCCTTTTCTCCATATCCTGGGGTGAAGAGGTCAGGGTAGTACTTTCCTTTTAAAAAAAAAAATACTTAAAAAGAAAAGAATCCAACAGAATTCGATCTGGATCCTTCAAATCGAAGCTCGTTAATAATTTGATCCTGTATCATACGATTTAAAGACCAGAATCACCACATGCGACTCTTCAGTGACGGCGAAAGCAGCAGATAACGAACACACAATCTCATCAGTGAAGCAGAACGAGCGAGAGAGAATTTGATACTGTATTACTTAGATTTAATGACCAAAATCAACAAATGCAACTCTTCACGGATAACGATCACACAAAATCTCATCAGCGAAGCAGAGCGAGCGAGAGAGAATTTGATACAGTATTCTACATTGAACGACCAAGATCAACAAATGCAACTCTTCACGGATGGCGGAACTAACGGATAACGAACACAGAAAATCTCATCAGTGAAGCAGAGCGAGCGAGAGAGAATTTGATACAGTATTCTACGATTTAATGACCAAAATCAACAAATGCAACTCTTCACCGATGGCGAGAGTAATGGATAACGAACACTGAAAAAGTTCAGCAACGAAACAGAGAGAGCAAGCGATAAAGTTATTTGCGCATACATACCCCATGGGAGGAGTGACACCGAGGCCGTTAGCGAGCAGATTTCGCCGGAGTTGTTCCTCAATGTGACTGAAACCTTGAAGGCTTGAGGAAGCAGAAGCGATAGTTAAGGAGCAAAGCATCAGAAGCATCAGAAGCAGGTCGCCGAGAAAGATTGGAGGTCTATCCATAGCTCTTGCCGTACTCTACCGCTACACCTCCTCCACTAGAGCCTGTTCACCAGAATAGAAAGTAAAAGAGATGGGAAGAAAATGACAGAAATTGGAGGGAAGCAGCGAAAACGAATCCCGAGATTGTAGGGTACGAGTAGAAGGGACTGAGGAGACAGTCTATTTATAGTCCATAACATTTCGTAGCTTTACTCATTTGCCCTCTTTTTAAAAAAAAAAAAAATACAAGACCAGGGCATGTGAGAGAAAAACAAAAATAGTCAGATTCCATGAAAGATTTTCATCTTGATGTAGATGATTAAAAATAACAAGGTATAAATTTGCCCTTATCCTTTTGCTTTCTCCTCTTCCGACTTCCGCCAGCATCCCCCATTGACACGGTGATTTCAATTTGTTTCAGTCAGAGTTGCGGCGCTGTTTAGATTAACCGGCAAGCATTGTTTTAACTTAATCAAAGGTTTCAAATTTAAGCTAGAGACGTTTTTTATTTCCTTTTCCACTTTTGTGGCATTTGTCATACCTCAATGTGAATTGATCAGTGCATTTGAGTTGTCAACATCGAGCATTTCAGAAACACGCTTTAACATTTGAAATGTTAAATGTTGTTTGGAGATATATATATATATATATATATATATTTTTTTTTTTTACGTGAACAAAGCAAATTTTTAAAAATTGGGTTAAAATGTTGTTAAATGTGAATTTGGCAACTTAATTTTTTGTAGAATTAAAATTACAAATAAAAATTGGGTTGTACGTACTTTTCTAAATGACTATGATATCCTTATTATGTTTTAATTTTTTCTAGTATTAAACTATATATTTTTTATTTTTATTATTTAACATATTAAGTTTTATGTTATTTCAAATTTTTTCAGATTTTTTAAACACTTCTAATATATTAAATTAATATCAAAGTAGGGGTAAAAATAGGCTAAGTCAGGTTAAGCTTTAGCTAAATAGGCTTGAGCCTATGTGGTAAGTCAGAGGCCTGAGTCTAATCTGAAGCCTATATAAAATTTTTTTTCATGACTTAAGCCTGAACCTATCTAAACCTGATCTGGTCTAAAAGCTTATTTAAAGCATACTTAAAAGTAAGCATTTTAAATAGGTTTACATTTTAGTTCTAAACTGTCTCAAATATATTTTAGAACTATTAGTGTACAATATATAACTTGATTTATCAATTACAATATATAATAATGGAAAAATTGATCTTTTAATCCTCCAATTTTTAATTCACTTGTAATTCAATCTCTCAACTATGACTCGTTGTGACTCAATCCCTCAACTATGACTCGGCTATGACTCAATCCCTCAACTTTTAAATCACTTACAAATTAGTCATTGAACTTTAATTTTCTTTTCATGTTAGCTTATATCTCACATTAATGAGCAAGAAGAGGGTATTTTAAAATAATATATGAGCATTTTTTATCCCTCTTATTTGATAAGAAATTTAAAAAAAATTAAAAAATAAGGACCGAATTATAGGTAAATAAAAAGTTGAAGGATTGAGTCGTAGCGAGTTATAGTTGAGAGACTGAATCACAGCGAGTCATAGTTGAGAGACTGAAATACAAGTGAGTTAAAAGTTGAATAATTAAAAGATTAATTTTTCCTATAATAATTAAAAGAACTTACTAATAACAATACAAGAATAAAATAATAATATTAAAATTAATATATAAATACAATCAAATTGAAAACATAACTAAAAAATGAATAAATTCATTAAAAATTAAATGATGAAACTAATATATGTGTGATGTATTACATTATATGTGTGAGTATGTAAATAGGTCGGCTTATTGGGCTCGTAGATTAAACCTTAAAAAAATAGAATTATTTAAAGATCTGAACCTGACCTAAGCTTATTTAATAAATAATTTAAATTGTGCCTGAAGTAGACCATGGCAAAAGCTCCTAATAGAAGCTTGATCTATCTCACCCCTAATCAAAAGGTAAAGGTTCGTGAAATAATAAGCAAACTCCATTTATTTACGAGAGTCTATTTGTAGTTTATACTTATACATGAAGAATGTAAAAGAAAATTTACAAGTTACCCAAAACAAATTTATAACCAGATGTTTGTGAGCATGTACAAGAAATTTACAAGTTAACCAAAACAAATTAACAACAAAGGTAGAAGATCCATAAATAACAAGCAACGTCCACTTGTTTATATAAAATATCCTTTTTATTTATGAGAGTTCATCTGTGGTTTGCACTTGTTCTCAAAGAATACGAGAGAAAATCTACAAGTCAACTAATAAATTAACAATAAAAGATTTATGAATAACAAGCAAAATCAAATTACTTACAACGGAGTGTCTATTACTTTATAAGAGTTCATTTACGGTTTATACGAGGAGAGAATATTTACAATATTAATTTACAAGTTACCTAAAGTACAAATTAACAATAGTCCGTAATTAAATTCCCATGTGATATTTATTAAAGGTAATTCGGTCTTTTCAATTTAGAAATTAATTGAAGATAAGTCCTTCAGTCTCTATACATTTTATTATATGATATACTCATTATTTCGATTTCCTTTACACATTATTGATAATAGATAACACACGAGAACCTGCATCTCTAAATCCATTAATGCTACTTCTCTTCTACATCTATTAATTTAAGGTTAATAATTAGGTTGTAATCAAGCCAATTAATTTAATATTTTTTATTTTTAAATAATATATAAAATTGTAAAATAATTTTTTTTAACCATAAACTAATATTTAAATGAAGAAATATTCAGCCAAAAGATAAGAAAAATTATTTTGTAATTTATATTTTAATTTATTTAAAAGAATAAAACTATATCTTGCTAGTAGGTTTCTTCCTCTCCATTTTTCTTTTGTGCATGAATTATTTATAGATTTTTATAAATATTAAAAAAACACTTGATAATTAATATTAATTTCCTTTTCAAAATTATTTATCCTAAACCAACGGTTTAGTTTTGTTAAATATAAAGGGAAACCACCATTAGTAGAAATAAACATTCAGGTTCCGATAACACACAGTGGCATGCTTCAAATTCGGTGACGGCGAGATTTTAATTAAAATTGGATTGGATTGGATAAGAATAAGAGCAACAAGGTTGGCAAACTTTGTTGCTTGGCTAAATTCATCAATTTTCATACGTCTCGGTTCTCACGAGCATATCCTCTTTACCGCTCTTATCCACTAAAATTCTTACGTAACCAGTTATGTTCTAAAGTGGCAATGTCGCCCTCTGCCTACCTTAGACCTAAGGTTTCGAAATATTAAGAGAAAATTATTTAGGCAGAGCAAGTATGACATGTTATTTATAGGATTTGCCTGATAAAAATATGATATTAAATATAAATTTATTTAAAATTAATGATAGAAAAGAGAGAAGATAACAAATTAAATATGTATTATGTTAGAAGGAATAAAATCAATTAAAATAATATCATAAAAGATTTTATTTAAATGATTTGAAATAGGTAGACCACAAATGATATGGTACGCTTGATTTACTTAAAATTTTTTATTTAGCATAAGTATAAACGTGAGTTATAAATATGAGTTGATCATTTTTTTTAATTTTTCATAGGTATCCTTTTATTTTGAGATATTTAAAGTATGGTTGGGTACTAATATACACTATAACATTGTTACTACTCTGATTCTATTTATAAATCACTTCCAACATGTTTTATCAATACAAAAAAAAAACCTTAAAACCATTAACTCTATTTTAAAATTTAATAAGTTCTCAACTTTACCTCTATTAAATATACACACTTCAATAATATAATTTTTCTCTCCAACATTCAATGGAGGATAAAATAAAAATTTATGATAAAAATTTAATGATATGACTTATAAATAAAATGAAAAATTTTTTTTTCTACCCTATAAATAGGACCAGAGGGAGTATCTTATAACAATAGTTGAAATTATAATTAAAGGTATGAAAACTGTTGAAAAAATTAAAGGTAACATTTTTGAACTTATACCTATTCACCAGTGTTACTTATTCTAAAAGGCAATAGTTGTGTAGATATAAAATATGAAAAAAGAAATTTTTTTATCCATGCCTGATATTCCAACCCTGAATCTCAAGGAAGTCAAAAATCACTCTTATTACTTTTCCAATGCCATTATCATGTCATTTGGTGTAAGTTTTTTTATGTATAGATAATATTTTTAGAAATTTTTATATTTTAATAATTAATAATTTTAAAAGTCAATAAATTAATATTTATTAATAAAAGTATAACAAAAAATTAAAAAAAATAAAATTAAATCATTTATATATATAAAAACATAATATGCAATAGTTATTAAATGTTGCAAAAAGAAACATTTATTTAATTGTTGCATATTAAAAAAGAGAACAGTTTTTAAGTGTTATGAAAAAAGTCATTGTATAAGCAACAATTTTAATATTATCTATTAAAAAAATGCAGTTTAACAATTTAAAAGTATTGCCTATTTTATGTTAGGTAACATTTTTCTAGTATTGTTAAATATATGTTGCTTAAAGTGATAATTAATCACAATGTTTATAAAATATTGCTTATTTACATATTAAACAATACTTTCAAAACTATTGTAAAGTGAAGTATTGTCAGAAGACAAAAATGTTGTGGTGATAGACACATTTATTAATAGAAAATTGATTACTTAAAAAAAAATTATATCCTAAAGTATTTCATTTATAATTTCTTTCAAAAATTATACAAATTTTAAACTTATAACTTTTTGAAAATTCCAAAGTAGCTTTTAAACCTACAATTTATTAATTTAATAATATACACACATATATATATAGTCTCTATCATTACGCACCTTAAATGATACTACCAGTGTGTTTGGATAGTAAATATAATCGATTTTTGGCCCAAAAAATCGATTCTCCAAAAAATTATCCAAACACCCACTTTTTTGGAGAATCAATTTTCAGGCCAAAAATCGATTATTTCCGGAAGCTAAGAATCAGAGCTTCTGCGGAGAAGCTTGTCCAAAATTGGGGAAAATTACAAAGACAGGCCCAAGCAAAAATTATAAAAAAAGCACACAATTTAATAAAAATAAAACCAAACTCTCTTATTTTCTCCTTTTTTTTCTTAAT